AACACATACACAGGTGAGGGTGTTCCCTTCCCTCCCAACAAATGGACTAAAAACCTCTCTAATAAGAAGATTTAGGATGAAAATCCATTAACAAGTATATTAGACTCATTATAGTGCCACTGGGTGCTACTCGGGAGGAAAATGGGTGACATTCTAATGATCAATTTGTTTCTTAAACCATATGTTAATTAAAATATGTTTCTTAAATATTTAATATGTTTCTTAAATATGTTAATTTAAAAATATTTCTTAAAATATGTTAATTAAATAGGGGCAGAAAAATAAATCCATGAGCAAAACACTCAAGATGCATAGAACTGAACTAAAACTGAACTAAAAGAGGCATTAGACATTATCTAACTCAATCTCTTTATTTTACAGATGAGAAAACACTTTTAAAGACTCTTTGTGAAACAGTTATTTGGATAGAAACATCATAATATTTTATTTAAAAAATTTCCTAACTAGACGCATCCCATGATCTCCTGTATTTTGGAGAAATGATTGCCTGCTTAGGGAAATTTTTTCTGCACACTGAAGGTGACTTGGGAATGGGGTGCTCAGGCCTCTGAATACCTGGAGAGAGAGGAGACCAACACAGGATGCTAATCTGAAGCCAATTGGCCCTACCTGGTCATTTTCCTCCAAACACTGTCCTCATTTGCCAAACAGTAAAAAATAATTTGCTTTTACTTTATATAAAAGACATAAAGTGTGTTAAGGAATTTTTATTTTTAAAAGTTCAACAATTCATCCACTTGCACTGCTCCGCCACACACACACACACACACACACACGGTAAGTAGATGCAGTTTATCTGCCTATTCTTCATGTTCATATGTAAAATATAATGTTTAGAAACAAATTAAAATTAAAAGCAGCTGGGTGTGGTGGCTCACTCCTGTAATCCCAGCACTTTGGGTGGCCAAGGTGGGAGGACTGCTTAAGCTCAGTAGTTCAAGACCAGCCTGGGTCTTGAACTTTTTTTTGTAGAGATGGATTCTCACTACCAGTTCAAGACCAGCCTGAACCTAGTGGGAGATGCTTGGATTATGGGGTGAATGGTCTGTGGCTTGGTGCTGTCTTTCTGACAGTGAGTTCTCATGAGATCTGATTATTTAAAAGTTAGTGGCACCTTTGCTCACCACACTTTCTCTCTTGCTCTTGCTTTCAGTATGTGACCCAGCCTGGGTCTTGAACTGGTAGTGAGACCCCATCTCTACAAAAAAATTAAACAAAATTAGCCAGGCACAGTGGCACATGCCTGTAGTCCTAGCTACTCAGAAGGCTGAGGTGGGAATATTCCTTGAGCCTGGGAGGCTGAGGCTGCAGTGAACTGAGATCATGCCACTGCACTCCAGCCTGGGTGACAGAGAAAACAAAAAACAAACCAAAAAACTCTGTCTCAAAAAACAACAACAAAAAATGAAAACCAAGTTGATTTATTTTATAATGTAAGCTATATTGATCTGGTATGAAAGTTTTTCAGGTAGGAAAATATTTCCAAAGAAAGTTATTAGTAATTTATAGCTGATGAACATTCAACATTAATATTATAGAAATTATATCTAATTTTTTTGTGAATATAGGTTGAATATGCCCATATTATTGTTAAGAAACTTCAGAAACTTAACATTAAGAGGGCTAGTTTAATGGCCAAAAATTTGTTATTTGAGTAAAATGCCACATAAATGTAAAAAGCAAAACAGAAAACTACACATGGTGGTGCCTCCCTATAATCCCTACTTGGGGGCCTGAGATGGGAAGATCCCTTGAGCTCAGGAGTTCAAGACCAGCCTGGACAAGACCCAGCATAGCAAGATTCTATCTCAAAACAAACAAACAAACAAAAACAGAACAAAACCACACACAGAGACAAACCCAGGGGCCTATTTTCAATTCATTTGGTTCAGAAAAAGAGATGTAATTTTAAAAGTTATTTCATAGATAAAGATACACAGGCAACATATATTTTTATGTGAGTCTTTCTACTTTAATTGTTTTCATATGGAAAGTGCCCATACCAGACATACTAGTTTCTTCTGCCTCTACTGTTACAGTGCTTCTAGTAAATGATTGTAGAACAGCTAACTGGAAACTGGTACTTTTCTTTTCTCTTTTACTACCTATTTTATTTATTTATTTTTAATTTTTTCTTTTTTTCTTTTTTTATTGCATTTTAGGGTTTGGGGTACATGTGAAGAACCCTATTTTATTTTTTGAAGTTAATTTTGATTCGAAGAATAGTGTTTCTATTCCATGTGTGAGAACTATGTAGATAGAATGTGAAAATCAGGATAATTTAAAACTTTCCTTCCTTCTCTGCTTTGACCTCTTTTTTTCCCCTTTTTTAAAATCTGTTTTCTTTCTCTCCATTGCACTATTTATATCCAGCCCTTTCACTCTTGCCTGATTACCTCCCTAGTATTCATTTTCTCATTTCCTTTTCCCTTGGCTTTCTCTCAGCTTTGCTTTAAGGTTTTTAGTGGGTTCCTTGCCATCATTAGCCAATTATCGTAGTGACAACAGCACTCTCAGGAATTGAAGTCTCATAAGTGGCTGGGATGGAGTTGACACCACAGCCCCACAAACAAGTTTATAACTGTATGTATTTTACTGATTTCTGTGCAAACATTCAGCAGCTGGGCAGAAGATGGTCATCATACAATGTTGTTAAAGAAAAAGAAAGAAAAATGAGAAGGAAGGTCATGTTTAAACATAGATAGGTTCATTCCCTCTCACTGATAGACGGGTTAAGCGACAAGGTAAAGATAAGTATCTAGGGAAATGTGATTATATACAGAGAACATTCTTAATATGTAAGAAAATAGTTTCTAATATTAAAACACAATGAGCCACAGACTTAGGAAAGCTGGTTGAGAAAAAAAAATCTCTATTTGTAAAGGACCTAAGAGAGCTCAGAAGAAAACCTGGAAGAGACTGGGAGTCAGAGTTAGTGCATCTTTTTCCTGGAGTTAAGGCTACTTCAGGATAAAAGTCTACAAGAGAAAAGGTTGCTCCCTATAATACCATTTCACCAATAACATTCTGTTATAGCCTAGATTCCCCAGGTATCACATTATAGCAAGAATACGATGTAGAAAACGTTAAAAGATTAAAATAGAAGTTATTTCTACCTTCCTTCTGCAAAATTCATGGAATTATATGGAACTGGAAATCACTGATTTCAATCTCACCCTCAAAGCAGGAAGCCCTTACACAATATTTTTAACAGGTGTCCATCCAGTTTCTGCTTCATTACTTCCCGTGCCAGAGAAGTGAGTCACTGCCTTGAAAAGCAGCCATTCCACATTTAATATCCTTTTAAAGACAAATACTACCACAAAAAGAGCTGACACTTATGCATCACTCACTAGGTATCAGGTGTAGACCTCAGTACTTTACTAGGTGTGTCACTGGTAGTTCCCACATGACCCCATGCAGCAGGCTGGTGGCTTAGAGTGGTTAGGTAGCCAGACTTGCCAAAGGGACAGAGTCTGGATTTGGGCCCAGTCTTTTTGTCTCCAGATGAGGCCTTCACATCATGCTGCATCACACTTGCCTCCCTGTAGCTTCCACGTGTTCACTCTGGTCTGGTCCCCACAAGACAAATCACAACTCCTGCTCCTCTTTCATTCCAAAGGCCTCCAGATGCTTGAAGATAGCAACTGTCTCTTCTCCCTGCCCTCCCTCTGCAACCCCTCTCCTCACAGGCTAAACGTGAACAGATCCCTCTGTTAATTCAGTGACAAATTATTTTGTGGCCTCTTTTATTCCAATGCCCTTTTCTAGAGATGGATGCGAAGGAGAAAACATAATAGATATGAACAGAGTAATGATTGCAGATGAAATGTTAATTTTTGACTATCAGATTCCATAAAGGAAAATCTTTTCTGGTAACAAACACAAAAATTGTCATCATAAATATTTGATATTGCATGTGTCTATGTATACTTGCAAATCTTTTCATTATGAACATAGCAATTATCATCCTAAACATGTTATACCACTACATAATAATAATTTGTTGCCCAAACTGAATTTTATTTCAGGAATTAAAAACGAATTTGATAGATACAACTATCTCTGTGTATCTCTATTTACTACCATGGCAACAAATTAAAATTGGTTTGTTTAATTAGTTGTTGGTAAAGCACTATGAAGATAAAACTGCTATTAATGGAAGCACAGTGTTTAGTATTAAAGCTAGTGTTATCATAAATGGTACAGTGTTTATGGACAAAATAAACCAATTTATTTTTTATTAATAGTAATAATTTCATCTTTGAATTAGGAAAAGGATTTTTAAAAACATTTTGCCTTTTAAAACAACAACAACAAATTGCTTAGTCTCCTTTTTATGTTTTTTGTGTTTGAAGCCAGGTTATTGTTATGTTGCTCAGCCTGGTATCAAATTCTGGGCCTCGAGCAATCCTACCACCTCAGCCTCCCAAAGTTATGTTTTTTCTGCCCAAATTTTAACCAACATTATATACTCAGAAGAGAATATGAATGCATATAGTGATTACCAAAATATCCCAGTGAAAAGTATATTTTCTTTCTTTCTTTTTTTTTTTTTTTGAGACTGGTTCTCACTCTGCTGTCCAGGCTGGAGTGCTGGGGGCCGCTCTCGGCTCACTGCAACCTCCACCTCATGGGTTCAAGCCATTCTCCTGACTCAGCCTCTCAAGTAACTGGGGTTACAGATGCATGCCACCATGCCTGGCTAATTTTTGTATTTTTAGTAGAGACAAAGTTTTACTATGTTGCCCAGGCTACTCTTGAACTCCTGGACTCAAGTGATCTGCCTCAGCTTCCCAAAGTGCTAGGATTATAAGCATGAACCACCATGGCTGGCCAAAAAAAGACATATTTTCTAATGGTCATTGCAATGTTCAAATTACCACTGCTGAGCCTTCTAGTTTCCTAATACAGAAAGGAGGACAGAGATTGCCAGAAATGCAGAGCTGGAGGAATTAACCACATCACCCACCAGGAACTATTTTCAGAATGGCTCAAGCAGTTGCCTGTGGAGAGCTTTAGATCGCCCTAAATCTTGTCAACTTCCCCAGCAGCCCCCAATGCTTATGCAACCTCAGTAAAAACAGCTGCTTGCAAGGAAGATGCAGTTCCAGGGCCAATCCGCAGCCTACCTCTCCAGCTCTGAGTCCTGTCACTGACCTCTCAAGTCTTGGAGGTTTCATAGCTGATATACAATTTAGAAGTGGAAAAACCCACCAGCGATCCTCTAATCCAGCTCTCTGCATTCTAAAAGGTAAGGTATTTTACAGATAAGGAAACACAACTTATGGGCTGGTTTGCTGAACTTAGAGAGTGCGGCAGATGGAGTGAATTGGGCTGGATTGTGGTAGGGTTGTGTGGCTTGGGATAGAAATCTTATCCATGAGTAGACTGAGAATGCCTTCAGCTATCCTCACTTAGACCAGATTCATGAACTCCAGGCTGGGTACTTTGTAATGAATTAAATGGACTATCTAATTGCCAGTCACTGAAATGTCTTCTTGTACGTGGTGATAATGAATCAGACCAGGGTTCTTCTTTAGATGCTAGTTCACCTCAATACTCATTTAGGGCCACAAGAGGCCAAAGATGTGAAGAAGGATGCTTTTGATTTCAACATTAATCTTCCTCTGAATAGCCTGTGTTTCCATGTTGCAACTCCCGGGGATTGACCCTTTCAGCCATGCCTTATTCTCATCATCAACCTCTGTGTCGCAGCCCCCACTCCCACCAGTCATTAGAATTTACCTATCCTTGGGGTCACTCCACATGACTGTCAATGTACTCTCTTACAGTCTTTATTCCCAGGTAACATATTGTCATTTAAAGGGATATTTCAGGCCCTTAAGCCTGAGGAATGGTTTAAAATGGCAATTTCAGGCCCTATGGCAGATCAATGGTAGAACTTTCTGTGCTGCAGAATCTGACCTAAGTAAGAAAGGTCTACTTGCAAGATGATGAGTGCCATCAGTGGGGACACTGTCCAAATACAGTTGATACAAAACTAGCTGCTGGAGATGCTGTCCAGGGCATTTGGGTGACATTGGGCCAGATGGCCTTTCAGATGCTTTCCAACCCTGGGATTCTAGACTGTGTGAAATGATAGACTGGTGGCAACTTAGAGGAGTGTTCTTATGGTTGCTGGAAGGATTTGTGATGGTTGATTTCATGTATTAAATTGACCAGGCTAAGGGATGCCAGATAGCTGGTAAAAAATTATTTCTGGGTGTCTGTGAGAGTATTTCCAGAAGAGATTCACATTTGAATTGGTAGACTGAGTACAGAAAATCATCCTCACCAATCTGAGTGGCCATTATTCAATTTGGTGAGGGCCTGAATAGAACAAAAAGACAAAGATGGGCAAGTGCTCTCTGTTTAGCTGGGGACGTCCTCTTCTGCTGCATTTGGACATTGGTGCTTCTGGTCTTGGCCTTCACACTTGGAACAGAGCTTGCACTATGGGTTCCTGATTCTCTGGCCTTTGGACTTGGACTGAATTATACCACCAGCTTTCCTGGTTCTCCAGTTTGCAGATGGTGGATCATGGAACATTTTGGCCTCCATAATCACATAGGACAATTCCCATAAGTCTCTCTCTATTTAATATATATAATATATATTGACTAATATATATTAAATTATATACATTAAAGTTATATATATATAATTTTAGGATAGAATTTCACAATCATAGATTTTATATATATATAATCTATTTTATATATATATAATCTCCTATTAATTCTGTTGGTTCTGTTTCTCTTGGAAACCCTGACTAATCCTTGAATCCTGATGTATCCTTAGCCCTGTGCAATGCTTATCAAACCATGATTGTTGGAATTATCGGCAAACATGTGGCATGTCAGAAAGAGGGACTCAAAGGTTCTTAATCAGCTGGGCTATGAACTGATCTAACAAGGGGACTTTAGAATACATTTCTCTTTATCAAACTTCCCAGATCTCCTCTCATCCCTATCATCTGTTTTATGTTCCTCTCTTACCATGTAATTTTTTTCCTTAAAACTAACCACTTTGCCTGCATTTGTGGTGCCTCTTTCTTTATTTATAGGACTTTTATCACTGAAGAGAAGTCTTCCCTCAACTCTGTTAATCTTTCATAACACATTTCCATTCCCCCTAGACCCCACATTTGTTTGTTTGAGACAGGGTCTCCTTCTGTTGCCCAGGCTGCAGTGCAGTGTGCAAAGGGCTCACTGCAGTCTCAGCCTCCTGGGCTCAAGCAATTCCCCTGTCTCAGTCTCCTGACTAGCTGTGACCACAAACGTGTAGCAATCATGCCCTGCTAAGTTTTTGATTCTTGTGTAGAGACAGGGTCTTGCCTTGTTGCCCAGGTTGGTCTCAGGTCTGAAACCACTGGGCTCAAGTGAACCTCCCATCTTGGCCTCCTAAGGTGTTGTGCAGGTGTGAGCCTGACCCTTAGATCCCTCACTTCTACCAAGAGAAATAGTAGCTAAATTTATTGAGTAGTTACTATATGTCAGGCACTGGGCTAAGCAATTAAAATATATTATCTAATTTATTTCTCATAAAGTTTTATGTAATGGATAATAATTTTCTTTCTTTTTTTTTTTTTGAGATGGAGTTTCGCTCTTGTTACCCAGGCTGGAGTGCAATGGCATGATCTCGGCTCACTGTGACCTCCACCTCCTGGGTTCAGGCAATTCTCCTGCCTCAGCCTCCTGAGTAGCTGGGCCTACAGGCATGCACCACCATGCCCAGCTAATTTTTTGTATTTTTAGTAGAGATGGGCTTTCACCATGTTGACCAGGATGGTCTCGATCAATAATTTTATTTCTATTTAGTATATGAAGCAATAAGGCATAGATAGATTTAAAATCTTGCCCAAGGACAGACAGGAAATGCTGAAGTTTGGGTACAAAACCAGGCAGTTCAACTCCAGAGCTCTTAATTGCTAAGTCCCCTCACCTTCATTATTTTAATCCCTAGAAATTTGACCTTTAACTCCACACTGCTGAAACTGCTTTCCTCCTGCTAGTTCTTGTCTTACTTGACTTTTCCTCTACTGACCTTTTCTCCTTGGCTTTGTGAGACCATGAGGATTCTTTTTTCTCTGCAAACATCTTCCATATGCAAAGGCTAGAGCCTTTGCATTCTTTTCCCCTTCTTCTTTTTCTTACTTTTTCCTGTTTATCTACCCTTGAAAATCTTTTTCCATAATTTCAATTACAAAATCAAAGCATATATCTGTGGTCATTTCTGGGTTTCAGTTATTAATTCTAATAGAACATAATATCTGAATCTGCATGTCCCAGTGATACCTCAAACTCAGCATGTCCCAAGCTGAATTTATCATCTTCCATTGATTACTTTCTCTGTACTCCAACTTCATCTCCTCCTCCTGACTTTCAGAGACGTTGTAATGTCATGGAAAGAACATCAGCCAGGGAACTCAGAAGATATGGACTCCAATCCCTGATATGCTGGCTCTGTGACCTAGAGGTCTTCATCAAATCCTCTCTCTAGGCAAAATGTGTGGACTGGAAGATATCATGTGCCTTCCAACCTTTCAGTCCTGTGGTTGCTGATGTCCTGTTTCTATCATTCTTTCAATTACCCAGGGATGGAGTCTTACAGTCATGTCTCACCTCACATAAACTAAGTCTTCAAATGGAAAGAGACTTTTTCTAGTAATTAATGTATTCTTCTCATCAATATATTTTTACAGAATATCTATTATGTGACAACACTGGGAAACAGTGAAGAATGAAGGAGAAAATGTCCCTCCATCATGGGGCTTACAGTCTAGTGGGTGAGGCTGACCATAAACATCTGCACAAATAAACATATTATATGGTATCAAGGAACAATAAGAACTTGAAGAATAATGAAGCAGGTCAAAGGTTTATGAGTGACTCAAGGAGGGTTATTTATTTTAATTAGGATGGTCTAAGAAGATGATATCTGGGCATCGACCTAAATGAATGAGGGAATGCAACATGTCAACATGAATGGAAACAGTCTTTCAGGCAGAAGGAACAGACTGCACAGGTTGTGAAAAAGGAACAAGCTTGGTGCGTTGGAAGGACAACAAGAACATCCACATGGTCAGTGCAGATTACGTAAGGAAGACCGGAAAGAGCCAAGGTCCCTCAGACTTACAGGCCATGGTAAGGCGTTTGCAGTTACATTTTATTTGTTTTTTGAAACACGGTCTTGCTTTGTTGCCTAGGCTGGAGTGCAGTGGCATGATCTTGGCTCACTGCTGCCTCGACCTCTTGGGCTCAAGTGATCCACCCACCGCAGCTTTTCAAGTAGCTGGAGCCACAATAGGCGCATGCCACCACACCTGGCTAATTTTTGTATATTTTGTAGAGACAGGGTCTTGCCATGTTGCCCAGGCTGGTCTCAAACTCCTGCACTCAAGTAATACACCTTCGGCCTCCCAAAGTGTTGGGATTACAGGAATGAGCCACTGCATTTGGCCTAGAGTTAGATTTTAGCTGTGATGGGATCCCTTAGAGGATTTTAAGCCCATGAATAACTTGGCCTGGTTACATTTTAAAACATCACCTGCTGCCATGTGGAGAATAAAGCATGGGTGTTGGGGCAGGACAAGAGTGATAGCAGGAAGACATCTTTACAATTCAGAATCTACTGCAGTCAGCCAACTGAGAGATCACAGTGGCTTGAACCAGAATATATCGGTGCAAGTGATGAGCTTACTGAATAAGCTAACTGATAAGGAGTAGTATCCCTTTAGGAAAGTGGGGGAAATCAGGAATGTTGTCCATGAATTGTTCTTGGACCATAGGTTATCCAAGGTCTGTTACTCTGAGTTTCCACACACTGTGAAGCTTGATCCCATTTTATTTTTATTTTATGTATTTATTTGAGACAGGGTTTCACTCTGTCACCAGGCTGGAGTGCAGAGGCATGGTCATAGCACACTACAGCCTTGAACTCCCAGGCTCAAGTGATCCTCTTGCCTCAGCTTCTCAAGTAACTGGGACTACAGGTGCACACCACCACATCCAGTGAATTTTTAAATGTGTTTTTTATAGAGACATGATCCCACTATTTTGCCCAGGCTGGTATCCAACTCCTGTGCTCAAGCTATCCTCCTGCCTCATCCTCCCAAAGTGCTGGTATTACAGGTGTAAACCACCACACCCAACCTTGATCTCATTTTATATACAACCTTCTTAATCTACTTTTATGGCTTACTACCTCCTGTAAACCAGAAGCAAAATGGGAAATGAATTAACTCAAAGAACAAAGTTAATTGGAGCTGGGCTACCTAATACCTAACTATGGGAGTGCCATAGGGAATGTTGCTCATTTTGATTATATGTGGAGTCATAATTCCTTGGGCCTTAGACTCAAGATAAAGGGATGCACTTTGTGAAGATTAAATGAGAGAAAGTGTATGAAAACCATGACGCTATAAACTTCTATGGATATCTAAATAATTATGTTTCATTTAAATAAAATTCAGTGCAAATAGAGCAAGGAATATTTTCTAATGTGCTATGTCACTTTGCAAAGCTGTAACTACTGGAAATGCTACATCTCTTGAACTTACCTGGGTCATCCACAAAGACAGCTAAAAGCTATATGTCAATATGTAGCGGATAAACACATTGGACTACGCCCAGGTGGCTTTCAAATAGATGAGCCAAGAACAGGGATATGTCCAAACGTGTTCTGAACAACCAGTATTCCTCTCTGTCTTGATATAATCTGCAAAAGTTTTCTGATGCATTATTTATCCTTGTTAAAAGGAAACCAGAAACTTTGATTGCTAATATTATTTCAAAATTATGCTTTTCCTATGTGGTTTTACAGAGGATTAAAAGAATGAAGGAACGTATTTGAAAAGAGAAGATGAGACAAAAGACAAAATCAGAACTGCATTTTGCTTTAAATTCTATTTTGGATTTTTTTTTAACTTTTTCATAATTCAGAGCTTTACATGAACTTCACCATAAAAGAAACTTTAAGAGAAAAAAAGAATTTGTCTTTACTATTTTTATATTGTGTGTATGTGTTTATATGGGAACAAAACAAAACTGATGAGAAACAGCTGAATGAACATGTGGCTTTTAAAACATTATGTAATAAAAGAGAAGGAAAAGATCTAGAGTCCTACATTGCACATATGATATTTTGTCCCTATCGGCACCTTTTTTTTTCTTAAGGATATCAAAATCTGATGTGATTTCACCGGTGACCCAGCTTCTAGAATTACATTCTGCAAAACTGTTTCCCTTCCATAGGCTTAGTGAAATGTGCAGTGATGGCTTCCACGTGAAGATAAGCCCCCAACATGTTCTCCAAGCAAACCCAGGCACACGTTTAGAACCAAAGTGACAGATACATTAAATCTAGGTTGATTACATAGAAAGTGAAGAAAATCATATGTAACAAAATAACATTAGTGGTTGAAATATCAAAAACCTTAAATTCTATGCTAGCAAGTTAGTTTTTTTTTTTTTCAACAAAGTTAAGCATGTCTGGACACCAATGAAATGTGTGCAGTTTTCTTTCTAAATAAAATCCTGGGATATAAACAAAAAGCACCAAACAAAAGTGCTATTTTTTCATGGTCACTAAAATAAAACTGAATTCAAAATAGCTGAATTCATGAAGAGCTTAAAGGCATATCATAAATCCACACAATGGTGTCTTAATTTCACTTACAATGTTTGAGTTTGCTGCCAAAAGTTCAATTTTCTCTCTTTTTTAATTGAGGTAAGTACCTATGAAAGAATTGTACTTCCTAAAAAGAAAGCACAACTTTACAAGAAAAAAATTAATTGCTCTCATCTCCAGTTAAACACAATGTCCATCTTTATTAGATCAAAAAGGGAATATTGTACCAGTGAGTTGACCAATAATACAAATAGGCTGGAAGTTCTAACAAAAAGAAATGTTCAATCTCCCTCCTCTCCCCAGTAATCTGATTCTCATCCATAGACTACTTTGACCTTACAGAAAGGTTTATTTTTTAAAAAATGGGCAGAACAGAAAAGAATACAATTCCTTGGTCAAGAGACCAAGACTTGAATCATACTAACCAAGAAGATCAATTCTATGTTCAACATCAGACCACACATTTTGCCAAATATGATAGACTGGCAAATAGGATATTTGGTCAAAATGGCTGTGGTAAAAATTTGTACGTGTAGAATCATGCTATGTAAACAGATTTTGAAACAATTTCAGTGGTAGTTCAAGGTCAAAACCTTTTCATGCATACTATAATATTCAGCTGAACAGAGCTCACAGACAACCCTCTCATCTGTTAGTGTTTTTTTTTTTTTTTTTTTTTTTTTTTTGCAGGGCTGATGTGCTGTGCTTTCTGTACTGTTGTCAATATCCTCTGTGAAGGGGAGAAAGGAAGCAAAACACACTGCCATGTGTGTACCTATGCAACTGTCTTGCATGTTCTGCACATGTACCCCAAAACCTAAAATGCAATAAAAAATTAAAAAAAAATATCCTCTGTGAACTTGACAAATTCTGGTTGGGAAAGAAACTAGTAGATTGGGGTTCAATCTGTTACTTTTGCAGGTCACCTTTACGTTTCAAGTTGTTGCGGGAAATACCATGACCACATATTGTATGAAATATTGAATAGGCATTTCTATGGTTTGAGTGTTTGTGCCCTCCAAAACTTATGCTGAAATTTAATTGCCAATGTAACAGTATTGAGAGACTGGATCTTTAAGAGGTGATTAAGCAATGAGAGCTTCACACTCAGGAGTGGGTTTAATGCCTTAATAAAAGGGCTTTTGAGAATAAGCTCCCTCATTTGCCATTTCCCCTTTTGCCACAAATGATACAGCAAGAAGGCCCTTACCAGATGCCATCCCTTGATCTCGCACTTCCCAGCCTCCAGAATGGCAAGCCAATACATTTCTGTTCAATATAAATTACCTAGTTTGTGGTATTTTGTTATAGCAGCACAAAATGGACTAAGACATTATTTAACTGCTTTGTGATATTTTCTGCAGGATCTGAGTCCTTGTTTTCTTCTCAAAAATCTGCTGGGCAGCAATCCCAGCCCCAGGGCCCAGAATGGCTTCCTCTGGGTGTCCAGCCTCAGGACTGTGCTCTACCTGTCTCTACAGGCCTCAGAGTCACCCACCTCAACTCTGGCTCAACCACAGTCAGAAGCAAGCAAGATACTGTGCTACACTGATGAGCTCTATGAATCTGCTTTTCATTTATATGACCTTTCCATTTGTCTCCTCCTTATCAATATCTATCACTTTCAATGATTATTCTTTATTTAGGCCCTCACTGCCTTACAATTGAATTATCTGCTCCAGTCTCCTAGCTGCTTTTTCTCCCCAATCCACTATGTTTACTAATGCCAGCCTATCAACTATATAAGTGCCTCTTTCTGAGCCAGCCTGGTATAATGCAAAGAGTCTGAGCTTTGGAGCATCAGATAATATTCAATTGTAGGCTCTTCCTTAATTAGTCTAAATAAATCACTCTTAAGCCCACTGACTAATCTGTAAATGTATTAATCCCTACATGGTTGTTGAATAGATTAAATAAGATTATATTAATTATATCCTAGAGAGCATCTACTATAGATACTAAATGAATGTAAATTATCTTGTTCTTTTTCAGTGTATTGCCCTTCTTTATCAAGTCATTCCATAGTCCTTAATGTAGTCACCAAGACTTTCAACACCATGTCATTATTTCCAGGAGTTTGTGGTCTAATAAGGACAAAGATATACAAATATAATCATTCAAACATAGAAGTACTGTGAGACTGAAAGAACTATGGAAGTGTTATGCGAACTTTGCTCTGTGGTATCACAAACCTTTATAGAAGAGATTCTTCAAGGATGAAGAGGGAAAGATTATACAGAAAAATGTGAAGGCTTAAGTCTGTTCCAAGGAGGGCTGGAGATGAGACTTTTAAGAAAAGTAATGTCCAGGCCAGGTATGGTAGATCATGCCTGTAATCCCAGCACTTTGGGAGGCCAAGGTGGGTGGATTACCTGAGGTCAGCCATTCGAGACCAGCTGGGCCAACATGGCGAAACCCTGTCTCTATTAAAAATACAAAAGTTAGCCAGGTGTGGTGGTGCACATCTGTAGTCCCAGTTACTCAGGAGGCTAAGGCAGGAGAATTGCTCGAACCCTGGAGGCAGAGGCTGTAGTGAACCTAGATCATGCCATTGCACTCCAACCTGGGCAACAGCATGATCTAGGTTCACTCAAAAAAAAAAAAAAAAAAAAAAGACTCCATCTCAAAAAAAAGAAAGAAAAGTAATAAAGTAATATCCAAAATGCAAAAGACTTGAATGTTTGGACTTCATTTTTTATAGGCAATAAAGGGAAAATTTTAAGGAGAATATGATACGAAATGAAGAGATTCACAATACAATAGAAAGAGTTGACAAGGGACCTGTATATCACTCTCCTATATCTCTTATTTTGAATTTAACAAAAGTGTTAAGGGAGATGAGACTGACAGTAGCCAGCCTTCCTTGAACACAGCCAAGCTTCTTTCCTGGACAAACAATAAGCATTTCTAAGCAACAGCGCAGAGCGGCAGTTCTCAATAGCTGGTTTCTAGGACTGATCCTACAGAAGTTTACCCAAGTGATTAGGAAATTCTTTGTTCTGACAAAGATTAGATCTCTTGATAGAATGACAGTAAGTAATTATCCCTTACGTCAGGAACACCTTCTCCATCAAAAGGGGAAGGAAATCCTAGAAATGAAAGGAAGTAACAGAATCCAGCCATCTGATTCAGCCAAAAATCAGCTAATGTTGGGAGGTGGAGAAGCAGCTGTTAACATTTGTGGGTCACCTCCTAGGTTCTATCATTCCAGTAGATGCTTTATAAACATCCTCATTTAATCCTCACAATAACCTGTCAGGTAAGTGTTTTTATTCCCAGTTGAATTCAGGGCTTGCATTAAATCTAATTATTACTAGATTCTCAAGTCATTTCTTTTAAATCTTTCTGGCTGTAACCATCATCCCTTATCCTCTGCTCCTAACAAGTGATTACCAAGGACTGTTGAAATTTATTTCAAGTTTAGTTTGGGTAAGCAAACTCTTATAGGGATTACACAATAGGAAACAAGAAAACATTTTATAGAACAAGGATGAAGAAACTAGACATTTTTTTTTGGAGATGGACTCTTGCTCTGTTGCCCAGGCTGGAGTGCAGTGGTGTGATCTCGGCTCACTGCAACCTCCACCTCCCAGGTTCAAGCAATTCTTCTGCCTCAGCTTCCTGAGTAGGTGGGACTACAGGCGGGTGCCACCATGCCTGGCTAATTTTTGTATTTTTAGTAGAGACAAGATTTCACCATATTGGCCAGGCTGGTCTCGAACTCCTAATCTCGTGATCCGCCCACCTCGGCCTCTACAAGCATGAGCCACCACACCTGACTGCAACTAGATCTTATACTTTTGACCTTTTCATCATTTTAGCAATGACCAGTTTTCTTTATTGAGCCATCACTTATTCATTCAACAAATGAGTTAAGTTCCCCATACCATGCATCTGACTGAGGTCAGGCTTAACAAAGGGCAATGCCTACTTCTTACTCAATCTTGGCACTGCATTACTTACCATTTTTTTCTGCCTTTTGAACTGCCTAAGTATAACTTTGCCTTCAGTTTCCAAGACAAGCTCAAGCTTCTTTATCTTCTGAGTTGATGCAATGTTGGATTACCAAATAAATACCCAGACGTCAATCCTTTCAGTAAGATCTGATGAGGTTTTTATTAAAGCTGACAAAAGTTTCAAAGAAATACTGTTGAGACTACTAAACAGTATTGCTAAACAGTATTTGATAATGAAGCTTATATCATTCAAGTCTTGGCAAGTGAAATGGTTAGTTTGTCCTGCAGTGGAGGAAAAGGTTTTAAACTGGGTAGTCACAGCAGCAAAATTCTCAAGTTTGTGTCTCAGGTGAACACTTGTCTCTCATCAAGAGTGGCCTGTACCATATACTACCTGGAGAGTTAGGGGTTAAATCTTAGGGATGGCAGCCCTGGGACCAACAGCTTCCAGCAATTACATTTGTCAGTGTATCCTCTGCAAACCCCACTCCCTCTCTAGGGCTCCTTGCCAGCAGGCCTCTTATTCCTCTGTTACAGAGGGCCATAAATCTCTTGGCAGGAAGTAGGAACTAAGCTAGGTGCTTAAGAGCCTCTGCAGAGAAATTCAGTGCCACTCAGCTGTTGATTTGCTAATGACAAAATGCACTGCTGATTTGCAAGCCTGGAGGTCCCTCTCTAACTCTGCAGTTCTCTGTGCCCTGAGACAGATTTCAGGTGCCTTCCGTGTGGCTGCCAGGGTACTGCAGGTCACTGCAGATTTCATCGCAAGCAAAGGATTCAGGATACCTGCATTGGCAGGACCACAAGATGCTCATTTATTATAAAATATCTTCTAGTCAGATGATAAAATTCCACCATTAAGGATTCATGTCCTAGGATAAACATCACTCTCTTCCTGCAGCCTTCTTTCCAGGATGCAAAACTCTGGGAGGTAGGAGTGTAGGGGGTAAGAGTATGGAGAAAAGGACAAAGAAGAGGTAACTACAGAGTTTGAGTTGGGCAGGGAAACACAACGTTTGCTTCCTTTACAACTACACTGTCAATCCTCAAGAGCAAGGACTAAGATTGTCTGTTAACTGCTGTTCTGTCACACCTTATGTCATACCTGGCACAACATGGGTGCTCAGTAGGGAATGTGTTGAATAATGTGAATGAACAAAGCAGACACCTATCCCTCTCCTCCCTAAGAATGGCTGTGCATTAGAACAAGGACGACATGGTGTCTGTGGCCCAGGAAGAAGCTCGCATCTCACACTGCTCAGAGGAAGCCTTATGCAGTGGCCAAGTGGGCCTCTAGTCGGAAACCTCTGCTGTCAAGTGATCCCTACTCACAGCTAGGTTTGGCCACTGAGTGTCTCCTGGCTAGATTTTTATAAAAATTGAAACACTATGAAAATTCACCTTCTACCTTTGCCTATTCAGCAGCTCCACCAACCAACCTGTCAGCATCCCTGGCTTGCCCAAACCTAGAAACAAGGAGCCTGTGCACATCCAAAGACTTCAAAGAGCCAGGACAGACAGCTTCTAATTCATCCTCCTGAAGCCTCTGCCATAGTTGGTTGCCAGGGTGAGCCCAAGCTTCACGGCTGCCTCTGGGTCTGAAATAAATCTGAATGCCAGGGAGCCTGGTAGAACAATGGAACCAACCTCTTAGGCTCTTTAAAGAGAGGTGGCCCCACCCTCTCCTACAGGCTGC